AACTTTAAAACTTGGAGACACCAGTGTATGCAGAGGCTCTCTCTCTCTCTCTCTCTCTCTCTCTCTCTCTCTCTCTCTCTCTCTCTCTCTCTCTCCCTCTCTCCATCTATTGATTATCAGTGTGTTAACTGTGATGTGGCCTATCAAAGTAAGAGCCTGGTTAAAACTTGGCCACACCATCAGTGTCTGCAGAGGCTCTGTCTCTCTCTCTCTCTTTCTCCCTCTCTCACTCTCCATCTATTGATTATCAGTGTGTTAACTGTGATGTGGCCTATCAAAGTAAGAGCCTGGTTAAAACTTGGCCACAGCATCAGTGTCTGCAGAGGCTCTGTCTCTCTGAGGGTCACATTGCTGTTTTAAATAGTGAGATAATCCGTCAAACACGCGCACAGCATCTCTCCCCCCCAAGCTCATTACGTAACACAAATCCCAAGTCAATGGTCACCGTGTCTTTGTGTGTGGATCCGGCACAGACACCACAGATCTCATCTGACGTTAAACCCAATGATCTGACTCTGTTCCTCGTTGAGGAGCGGAAGTGAGCAGCAGTCAGGGCCAATCCATTTACACTGCAGCCTGAGCTAAGCATGTGCACATCTACTGTCAGCAGGCCTGTGTGCTGCCAGTGTTCATGTGCATGCTGTGCACACAGGGAACATCACGTCCCGCATGATCCGTGAGACAAGTGCAACCACGCATCTTGTATACACTATGCATACAGCGTTTACTCACATAATCCAACTTCGGCATGACGGTCGTGCATCCCCCCATCTTGAATTTGAACAGGTTGAACAGTTCCTCCGGGTGACCCAGTGACTTCAGGATGTCCATGATGCTGCGGGTGTCTCAGGTGTTTCTCTGTCAAATCGCAGTTTCCATGGACGGAGGAGCTGCAGCGGCTGACACCGGCGGGACACACGGTCACAGGAGCTCGTCAGATCGACATGACGCCCCTGATTGGTTGGAGAGTCATGGGCTTAGGCCTCGGCGTCCAATGGGCGGCCAGAGTGCCTGGTGTGATGCCCCGCCCCGGTCGACTGTCAGCGAACCGTGGCCTCTGATTGGTCGGTGATGTTCTCCATGAAGGAAACATACCTGCTCAGTGAAATAACACCCTATTATAAATAACCTAAATTCTCTCTGAACCCCGGTGTAAACATATAAGTAGGAACATAAAGTATGCAACATATTAAGTATCAATATGAATATACAGTCCATTATTCTGAATGAAATAGAAAACTCACAAAACAGTACCTGCAAAACTAACAAACAAATAAATACATATTTTTAGTACATTTCATTTAGGAAAACTTGGTTCAAAAGCATTTCATTCACTTATTTCCTTCATAATAGTAAAACAAAATGTTTGATTAATTAATTGAAACCCCCCCAGGTTCGATGTCACTAATATATTATATCCACTTACACCAGTATATCACTGATGAAGCTTTACTGAAAAGCTCAGATTCTCCATTACATTACTTTGCTTCTTTGTTTCAATAAAGTCTCGTACCATGGGTGATTCTTGCGGTTACCATTTTCTGGTCAAAGTTTTCTTACTTGCAGCCAAAAATGACCAGAAACAAATATCTGTGCCTAGTTAGAGTCATATATGCAGGTAGATGGGCAAGATGTACTACATCGAATGGGATCTTAGCATCAAGTGCACTTTTACACTCTTGCTGTGTTTCATCAAGATGTTTCACCTCTCATGCAAAAAGCTTCCAAATGACTAGTGGGAGGTTTCAGGTATTTATGCTCTGCAGGTGTGTGCTTATGCTGAGAGTGAGGTAAGTCGAGTTGTTTTATTGCCAAGTAGCCCATCAACCAATTAGTAGAGAAACATCCAGGATCCACTGTCCAGGCATGATAGCACACACAACTCCATTTCTTCCATAACATCTGTGTGACTTTCTTTCTCTGCATTTTAACACATATGCATATATTTGCAGACATCAATAAAACAGTAGTTTACATGATATGTACTGACATTGTGGAATTAATTAGTAATACAGCTTATAAGAGTATGAGAGTGCACAAAACAACACTTTTAGAGTGGAGAGTGAGACGCTTTATATTATGCAAAGATACAAGAAAATTAAACTCACTTATTGAGAGCTGAAAATATGCACATCTGTAATTTAAGTAATGACAGCTCACTTCTGTTCAGGTGTCCAAGTGAAAATGGATTCAGCTATCAATAATTTTTCATAAGCCTATTGACACCTGAAGCTTCTCTACTGTGTCCCATTCAATTCCTTATGTGTAAAAGGCCACACCCCATTTAGGCATTGCAGTTCCACAGCAGTGCCGAGTATATTTAACTCTTTGCTCCTGTGTATGAGGCCCTGGGACACTTCTATTAATTTTGTTAATTAGTTTAGTTAATTTAGACCCCACAGATGAAGCTGCATGCCTCCATCAGGTGAAAATAGATAAAACTGCAGTCAGTCGGTTCTGTGTGATGACCTGCAAACAGCCTGTACATTTGTGCACACACAAATATGTTGATGTTATATAATATGTGTAATAAACCACTGTAATATTTCAGCTTTGGATGTGACAGTGGGCGTAAATCCACAGAAAACCAGTCAGAACCGAGACGGAAAGTAACACAGAGATCCTGTCTAACATGTTTCTCTGCATGACTGAGTTTACAGTCAAACTGCGTCTTGAAAAAGACACCGTGATCGTAATGGTGTCACACAGAAAAGGGAACACAAAGGAGACTCAAAATCTTAAAATTTGTTTCAAGATCTATTAAAGTAAACAATTGTGTTAATATCAGTTGTTGACTTTAAGTTGAAGGAATTTAATTTATTTGTTTGTTACCAATTTCAATAATATTTTTAGGTTGGTCCTATAATTTTCAGTGAAAGGGCAGATTTTCCTGGTAGCAGGGGTGTTGCATCACGGTAGGCAAAGCAGAAACCTGCCTGGGTATGGAAAAGCAAATTCATATTTTCCGGTTCCGCTATTCTGCTAGGGTCTGCTATGATCCTCGTGATGTAAACCATGATGTGTGACCGTAACAAGTATGCAACTCTCAGCAGACATGGAACGAGGAAAGCATGGTCAACCTTTAAGAGATAAATCCTCTCTACAGAATAAAAAGTTTCACTTTATGTACGAGCATCATCATCTGTTTGTGTAACGAACACAGAATTTTCTATTTAAACAATGTAAATGCTGCACAGGATAATGTCAAATGTATGCAAATACATTCTCCTTTTGCCCTGAGTGTTAAATGGGGCCCTTGAAGTGAATGCAGGACAGCTGCAATTTTATAGATTTTGCTTCAGGGCGCAAAGCAATAAATTGCAGCTGACCTACATCGCAATGTGTTGCTTTTTAGCTTCCATGAACTAAAATGTCTTATATATATATTTATATATATTTTTTAAATTATTCTTCTCTTTGAACTTTACTATATCACTCCTGGGGAGATAAAGTTGACTTTGATCCAAACCCATTGGTTACTTCTGTGAACGTGTCCGACTGGAAAGATGTTGGGTAAAATAGCCATGAGCATTACCAGGAGGAGGAGCTGCCTGTTGACAGTACAAAACTTAATCGTTACTTACTGTTTAGTTAGTCTCAGCTTTGCCTCTGCGTGCTTCCACCTCAGCTGACGTACAAGAGCTTAACGTACCTGAAGAGACAAAAGGAACTTTTTAATTTCATGACTTCTGAAGAACCAGTGGTGAGGAGACTGGATGGAGCTTCACATGTGAGTAAACTCAGATTTTTCTTTGGAAAGAAATTCTGTGACCTGAGAGAGGCTGTGAAAAGCAATTAATGACATCCTTATCATCTCAGCTGTAAGGACACTGATTTATCATTAAATGTATCATCCACAGCTCTCTGTCCATCAGTCTGTTGTTTTCATCCATAATCAGTCTGTTGTTTTCCACCAGGTTGAACCATAAGCGACGTCTGTCCACTGGATGTGAGAAGGAGCCTCAACCTTGCGCAAAAAAATGTTTTACCAGTGTCCACACTCTGCTGGACAGGTATCAGACTCACCACTCATATGGAGCCACGCAGCATACCACACTGAGGTAAGAATTATTTTTTATGTTGCTCATCTAACTATATGCTTTAACAAATTGTATATCACTGTTTTGATAGATAGATAGATGGATGGGCCAAATCTATATTCCAAAATATTTCTATATTTCTAAATTTTCTTCTGCTGGTATTCTCCAATACATTTTGTGTATTTAAATATGAGCGATGTCTTCTTTGCTATTTACTCAATCGTCATCTCTAAAGGAGGGTGTTTCTGTGTTACAGGGCAAACTGTGGTGGTCACCTCTGCACATGTGAGGCAGAGAACCTGACTACGGGCTTCTTTGAGCAGATATCATCCTGGTCTGACACACAATGCTCTGTGGAGAAAATTCTGGATCACCTCGAGGTCAAAGAAAACACAGATGCCATATTGCTCGACAACCGAGTTAATAAGAAATTCTTGGAGTTTCACCGCGACATCACAGAGGAATGCGGCGCTGAGGAGAAACAGCACTCGTGGGCCGTTGTGGAGAAACGTGAGGAGATCGTCATGTACGGACCCTATTATCCCAACTACAGCAAAGGAGAACACAGCGAGGACTTCATTATCAAACAAACGCAGGAGCTCCTGGAGGATGACTTCTCACGAGACTGGAAGGTGTATGTTTTCACCATGAACAGCCCGTGTTTGGCTAGAAACATTAATCCATGCATGATAAACCTGGTCCAGAAAGCTCAGGAGTGGTGGAGAGTGTATGGGGTAAAGACACACATTGGTTTTGTGAGATGCTGGGGATTCAAAGGAAGCAAAGAAACTCTGTTCAGGGACATCAACTACAGCCAAGTGGACTGTATAAATCAGACGGAGAACCATGAGGAATATGTCAAAGCAGCTACAGATAGAACTGATCTCAATCCTTTGTGTAAAAATCTGAGTTCTGCGGTTAAACGCCTCTTGAGATCTGTGAATCTGAGTTTCCCCCTGATGAGCATTGAGCAGGCACAGGACTGGAAGTGTTATTTCAAGAAAACACACAGCATTTATGAAAGCAAACCAGAGGACGAGAAAAAAGACTTGACGCAGAAGCTGAACGCTGCGATCGGAGCTGCTCAAGCTCTGCTGTCAGAGAAAATTGGAAGTTTTGATGAACATCTAGAAAGCGGGAAGGCGTTCACACTCGATCAAACTTTTGGTTTCAGCGTATCTGACGTCCTACGCGATGAAGTGAGTCTCACTTTTCAACAGTGTTGGAAGGAGATGGTGCAGGACAAATATGCAGAGTTCATCAGGGGAAAGCTGATGGAAGAGTTCAACCAGTGTGCCGTCCAGCTCTTCATCAAAGATATCGTAAAGTTCACAAACGAGTATTTGCACATCGGGAGGATACAGTTTTCTGAAGAAGAGTCAAAAGGGCAAAAGCTGTTTGGTAACTAAACACTGAAGTAACAGCACAAGGAAGTTAATGCAAGACTGATCATTCGACAAATCTTTGGTATGCTTGTGAAACAGGATGATTGACAACAAACCTCCACCTCATTCGTATACACTAGCATTATGTCTTGCTCATCTGTATAAACAGCACGCACTCCCTGAATTACAATGTAAAACTAAACCTCACCAGATCAAATCTAAACAACATAAAAAAGACACAAAGCTTGTTTCAGACTTTCAGGTGTGAAAACGCCCTCAAGATGTTTTCAGATATGAAATGGGGGAAAAAATGGGAAAATTGGGTCAGCACGTTCAGTTTGCCTTTCACATGCAAAGAACGCAGCAGGACATTGTCCGAGTAAGACTTGTTCACAACAGGATATTCATCCAGTTTCATGTCCATTGCGTGTTGGAAACATCAACATATTCCTACTGTATATATAAAATATCTGTTCTAGTGACTTAAAATGCCTTTCATGTGTTGACGAGAGGCTCAAATGCAGAGGAAAATGTTTGTTTTGGAAAATGTAAATGTCCACATCAGTGTGGACAGAGTGATACAGCCCCCTCAGGAACATTTCAGGAAAACTTCAAAGTTCAACTGAAAACAGCTAAAGGGTATCAGGTAGTGTAAGCACATGCTGAGAAACACACACATGTTCGTCTCTCATTGTGTCTTTACTTACAATATATCACAAAAAGGTGTATTACACAATTATACTGGAGTGGATTTTTTTACATACACGCTCATATGGTTATTAAGGAAATTACATGTGGTAGAATCCCACATTTACACATGTTGCCTCCATGCTTGTCACAAGCAAATTCAAGCAGTTTCACTAACAAACTGTAAACCTCTCCTTCATATAGTTTATCAAACAACCTTGATATATATATGTTATAGATGATTATTATATGATAATGTGTTTTGATTTGTGTCTATAATAATAAATAGATCTTTTTTTTTTCTTGGAAAGGCTCCAAAATGTTTAGGAGGCTCCTCATGTGCATGCACTATTGTACTTGTGTCAGCAGAGGGAGCTGTGTGACAGTCCATCCACATCATATTGGTCATGTGCATCATTCATAGGTAGCTTATTGTGTATTTTTTCATACAGTTGACAATACTGATATGTTGTTTTGTACATCTAAAGGACAAAGGCACAAAGTGAAACTGATCCAGTCTACCAGGGAGCAGCTCCTACTGCAATGAGTGGATCATGTGTTTTTATTTACTGAGGGTCATTTTATCACTGGTGTTGAGGAGTGATGGATGTCAAGAGCAGTCAGAAATAATTTGAATTAAATATATGTGACTAAACCTGACTGTATTAGATCATCTTTAATAAAGCTAATCACACACTTATTGAAAAATTGTATTTACCTTTGCTGATGTTTAGCCATGTTTGTGTTTTCTTAGTGCTGAGATAAAAGCTGCTAAGACTTTTGCTGCTGCCCCAATACAACTGAGGTGCTTGAATAAAGTAAAACTCTACATGTAAATAGCTCCACAGCAACACGCCTCGTGAAACACAGAAACAATGCACCAGTTTCGTGACAAAGTCACTTAGAAAATACTGAAAACTGAGGCGTGTGGATTATTAAAGCAACACTATGTCATTGTTATTGAGCAACAGCGCCCTCTGCAGCAATAAGTGGTGATTAATTCTGTTGGGCTCCATGTCAGAGCGATTAAGGGGTTTTCATGTGGAGAAAAAACAAAGACTACATAGTCCCACTGACCCAACTGAAATGCAACTTAACAGTGGATATTACCCATGATCCCTGGCTTTCTAAACCTGAAGCTGCTCCTGTAACAAATGCACCAAACTCTGTTCATACTTAAAATGTTTCTTTGTTGAACATTGAAGATAAACACTGTTTTTTAATTAATTATCAGGAACTTGCTGGAAATGATTCTGGCAAGTGTAGCTGCAACTATCGGTCAGTTCCACTCTTCTCACAGAAGATCTTAGCCACTCACCAAAGTTACACAGAGCAAGAACAGGGAGGAGGAGTCGGTATTAAAGTGACAACATTTTCCCTATTCCTAGTCAGTGAAGCTTTAAAATAATTTTAAAATTGCTATTTTAATGTGAAAAAGTTGCCTAGTGTTTCATTAAGTTAGCAGCACATACGTTGTAGCCTATCTTAACACATTGCTATTGAGTTCAGACATCTTTTACAAATGTACTGCTCGGGTGAGTGTGAAAATTTACCGTAGGGTTGTTACTATTCTTATTTATGAGAATTGACCACGGGGCTGCATTTAACGTAAACACGTCCTGCTGTATTTCATTACCTCCGTTTTTCGTCAAAATAAAATGCAAATCCTCAAAATGAAAAAAATCTATTGAAATAAAAAGAACTCAGGGAGATAAAGTCTGACCGTTTCCGTTATTTGTCACTGGCGTATGTCACAGCTTGTGTCACGCACTCGCATGGCAAAGAAACTTTTCGTCTAACAAAGTTACAGTTTTTCATATCAAAAGTTGCCGTGTGGTTTGAATCACAGAGCTGCTCCTTCACAACCATCAAACTCCATCCCATCAGATGTCCATCTTTGTAGCGCCCTCCATATTTCTGTCTCATATCTTTGCACTGTACAAACAGGCTGTGTTGGATCTTCTGCATCCCCAGCAGTGGTCCACGTTCCCAGCACTTGAGTCTGTCAGTAGAGTCTAATTTTGTATAGATGAGTTGGTTCTGGGTTGTAGGTCTTCTAAGCCAGGATTAGGCTGCTCCACGGCTCAGCTTTGGCTCCAGAAGATCCACTGTGGCCCCCGGGGGACATCTTGAGAGGAATGGCTCCACCTTGAGCTGCCATGTAGGCCGGCAGTGCTGAGATCTGTATGAACACAGAAGAAACCGATTAGATGACCCATACAATTGGACTACACCACATTTGGGTGACATTATAAAATAACACGAATAAAATAAGATTAAATATTGTAGAATTTCATTTTTAATAATGATGCCTAAGCCATTGGTTTGTGAACTGCCACTTTGTAGCATTGAGTCTGTCAATTTGTCCAATTTTGTTTCTTGAAACCAAAAGTAACCATGTTTGGAGGACCAGGGGGTGGAGCCTGACTGAGAGCTCGAGGACCCAACTACACCTGTACCCATTGGACATTACAATCTGTCAATCACACAATATCCATGCCCTAGTGCATAAGGTGCATTACTGTCTATTTGACTCTAAATGGGACCATAATTTTTCAAAATGATCATTCTTCAATCATTTTTCACTCACATCTCTATAAACTGACTTATTTCTGCTGTTAGTGGAGTCACCCCCTGCTGGTCATTCAAGCGAACACAGGTTTCACTTACTTCCACATTAGTTTCACTTTCCAGACCGAGAGTCAATGTTAATTTTTAACACTCTGGTCTTAGCAACTGTCGATTCCTGGTCTTTAAGGTCATTATGTCATTATTAGACAGATAAAGCTACTTATGATTATTGTGTCTCTACCTATTCTGTCACCCTGTTTCTTAAATATTCTGATATTTCTCAGTGTCTCACCTGTGAATGTGTGCTGTGGTGTGTGAACAAGCTGTGAGCCTCTGGTTCTGTTTTTATCTGACGAGGCTCCTCTGTGCTGCCACCGCTGCTGATGCTGCCAGTGGCGTTGCGGGGAGTGCTACTGGGTGTGACTGGAGTCCCCTCACAGCCTGGAGTCCCTGTGAGGCACAGAGTCGTGGTTATGTCACATGTACAGTCAGAACACATGAGTGGGCCTTGAGACATGAAATACACATTCAACCAGTATTGGCTATAATGGAGGGATCCAAATGTCTGCAGGGATTTTGACTCAAGTTTTATTTAAAATCCATTGAGTTATTGAAGCTCACCGGTTTGGGACTTGTTGAGGTTCTTGGGTTTGCGTTTGCGGGTCTGGATCCCCTCTTTCTTCATAGCCAGGGGTCGTGGTACCTGTCGAGACACCAGGGGGAGGAGAGAACTGAGTGAAATCTGATTGTGCGACATCCATAGAGGCCGGTGAGGAAAAAAATGTTGAGATGTGTTAAAAAATGAACTAAGATGTGACTGAATCTCTCTTACCCCGTGAAGTTTCATGTAGAGGCCGCAGGCGTTGCAGACCGGCTCGCCCTCTGCGTTTCGTCTCCACAGGGTGGTGGTGGTGGTGTGACAGTTGGTGCAGGACAGGCCCACCCTTCTCGAGGCAGACTAAAGTAAAGAGAAAGAAGACGGTAATTCATTTGTCACAAAAAAATATATGTGAAGAACGTGCCGATTGTGAGTCTTGCTTTCACGCACCAGTCGTCGCTGGGGTTTGATGAGTGGCCTGTTGATGCCGTTCATCTTGTGGTACAGCCCACAGGCGTTGCACAGATAGTGGCCGGTGCCGTCCCGCCTCCAGAGGGGGGTCGACATCGCCCCACAGTTCACGCACTCTCGGCCCTCGGCAAAGTCATCGAACAAATCTGATCAGAGATGACAAATGAGAAATCAAGTAAGCTTTTTCTTTCATGGATAATTTGCTGAACATCTTCACCGGCACAGAGGATAATTCAGTCAAAGATTTAAAATCATCCTAATCATTGTTTACTTACCTCTGGAAAATGTGCACATACATATTCCTATAGTACACAACATTCACTTTGGTTTTACATTTCTGTATATAGTATTATTTTATATGACTTTTTTATATTAAGCTGTTCTTATTGTATTGCTGAGCTGACATGTGCTTCCCGTCCCACAGTTTTCATTGTACTGTTGACCCTGTGTTTGTTCGTGGGTTGGTTTGTGTGATTGTGGACAAGATTACACAAAAACTACTTGACGGTTTACCACAGAAATTGGTGGAATTTTGCAGTACAGTTCAGGGAAGAACCAATTACTTTGTGACGCGGATCAGAGGGCGGATAGAGGATTTTTTTCTCTCTTTTTAACATTATGAGATAGGGAGTTTTCCCAACATTGTCGTTAAATCTTAGAGAATAGGTATGTCCAGTGAATTTAAATGTAGTTTCAGAAGGGGACTGTTGGGCCTTGGTGGAAGTCTGCATCCATGGGATTACTTATCAAACCTTCACTTCATGAAAGCAAAGAATTATATCCCTTATGCTCAGATAAAATGAACCTCCAATTGGGCTCGTGCCACAGAAATTCTTTCCATTCTCTCTTAAAAAAACAGTCCCTGACAGGCTGGTTATATAGTACAGTGGCATCTCTACACCAGCAGGAGGTGCAGGCCCACAGTTACAACAGGCCCACACAACAGCAGCCTGGATTCCCCCCTTATCTCCCAACTCCCCCTGCAGATAAAGAGCCAGCTGGAAATAGAGACGGAGCTCCATCATATTCAAATAGAGACTCTTTGTATGTCACATCTCCTTCTGCCTCTCAGATAGCACGACACCTGATGAATGTAGTCGTCACTCGCTCATCTGAAACTAGTATCGCCACAAAAACGGGGGGAAAAGACTCCATCTGCATCTGTCTTTTGCCAAAACATAGCTTGAGAAACTGCAGAAAGCTTCAACGTAAAACTTGTGAAAATTTACATTTGAGTGGCATCACAATGTGTTTTTAACCACGCACTCCTCTCTCCATAATTACTCCTCTTCAGAGAGTGTAAACCTGGCCACCATCTGCTCCTCCAACAGTAACTGAACTGATACACAACCATATGCAGGCCTCCACCAAGGCCAAGAGCCAAACAAGACACAGCGGGGCAGGCTAACCTTGAGCCAGGCAGCAATTGTAGCCAACACAACGCATCAACACAGAGACAATACACAAAGAGAAAATGACTGCAGCGTTCCACATCTATCTAACAGAGGTTTTATTTTTTCCACTGTACAAATGTCAGGGTGTATCTTCTATCAGATACACGCCGACTATCAGGGTGCAGTTTAAAAACAGCCTCGCTAATGCTTTAGGAGGCCAAAGGTGAACATGGAGTAAAGGACTCAATGGACGAGTAGATGAATATGTTTCAGTGGCAAGAATTAAAAGTAAGACCATGTATATTTTATACTTTTAGTACATTTCAGGTTGTATTATTGTACTTTTTCCTCCACTACATCCGCTGGCTGAGGTCACACACTGTTTGAGATAAATGAACTTCACAAACATGTCATCAAAAT